CGTTCAAAATTTTGTAGGTGAGCTACAGTAATCAACCCTTTTAACCTATAGTGTTGCTCTCTTTCACCGTAATTACATAAATACCCTTATGACCCAAATAGCAACCGGATGCAGCTCTCTTTGTAACCGGAGGCAGCTCAAATTCCCGCTTTTTAATAGTAGGAATATTAATAAAGCTGTCAGTTTTAGACACAAATCTTCTATATATCTAGAGTAAAATTCAGTTTACCCCCTTAACCTTTAAGGCTTGGGAAACTATACCCCCTTCATATTTTGAATGGGAACGGCAACCCCCTTATAATCAACAATCAGTTGGAAAAGAAAAACTATTATCACTAAAAATAAAAATTCAGAATAAACCCTCTTTTTGGAGGGAATAGTTTTGGTGCTAGTACATTCGTAACTTAAAAAAATTAACATATTGGAATATTTTCCATTCCCTACCATTAAATAAATATAAGTACCAAAGAACTGCAATTGTTAAAGGACAACAATGAACATGTTGGAATAAACTCAATCACTCATTGAATATATCAAAAAAATATCATGACCATGCAAATTCAATTGTTCCAACACATATATGCCTTGATTGGGCGATCCAAAGAACTTCAGTTGTAATCAAAATTGAGAAAATTAGATGACCCATCACAATTTGGAATATTAATCAACGAACATCCTTGATGCAAAGTCAAGGACGCTATCCCACTCACTAGATGAGTTTCCTACACTATTTTGGACAACTCGTCCAGTTGCTGACGCTTGAGTTGAGAAAATAGCATCTCCAAAAGATGTAGGTTGCCTGTGCAATTGAGATGTTCCAAGTTGTGTAGCTGAAGAAGCAATTTGACTTGGTCTAGGTGGTTGAACCTTAAAAACCAAAAGTTACAATTAGGGTAGAAAATTATTGATAAAACATCTATTATTAACATATGGTATGAAAAATACCCTATTGTTACCTGTGAGGCCAGTACAATTTTATTCTTGAATGTCCTAGGGCACCTGTGGGGCATTCCATAAAGAGTTTTAATCTGAAACGCAGTGGTCTTTTTCCAATGGCTAGCATGAATTCTCCATCCACACCATCTTTTGCAATGTGCAGTGACTCTATCAGTTTCATTTTTTTCGAATCCAACTTTAAACCCATTCTTTATTGGATGTTGTCTAAGAGCCTTCCTAAATTGTTGAACTGAAGAAAAACCCAAACCTGTGAACAATATTGGATTTTTCATATCAGTAACTTTATTAAACCATTCAATATCCTTATTAGGAGCATCACACTTTGTCTCATCATCACCACTTAAGTCCTCTGAATCACTTCAAACACCTTCTTCAGATAGACCATCAGATCTTCCATAATATGAGTCATTATGGATATTTTTAATTATTGTGTGGCCAATATATGGCTCATCAATATCTCTTGTAATTCCTGGGTTGAGATTATTCTGTAAAAGTTTATTTTTATGAGTCGAAGTCATAACTTCAAATGAGTCGCTAAGAGTATCACCGTCCGCGAAGTATTCGAAGTCATCTTCAGAATTATTTTCTTCATCACTGGGAATGTACTAGTGCCAAAACTATTCCCTCCAAAAAGAGGGTTTATTCTGAATTTTTATTTTTAGTGATAATAGTTTTTCTTTTCCAACTGATTTTTGATTATAAGGGGGTTGCCATTCCCATTCAAAATGTGAAGGGGGTATAGTTTCCCAAGCCTTAAAGGTTAAGGGGGTAAACTGGATTTTACTCATATATCTATATATCTATATAAAGGTTGTATTTATTTTTTTTCTCCTTTTTTTTTTATTTACCATTTTCACTACTTTCATTTGTCTAATAATAAGATATATTGTTGTATTTATAACAACTCATTTATTACAAAACATTAAGAATTAAGAATTTAATTATAGCTCCATTGTTAATATTCATTATCTCTTCAGATTCAATGATGAAAAAGAAACTGAACTTAGAAAAAAATAGAGAGAAGGTTCGAGAACTCCTTGTTATTCAATGAACAGAACAAAATGAAAATATCTAATATGTTCTTTACAAAACCAGGTCTACTGACTATATATACATGACCCAATAGAAAAATAGAAGTGGATCACTAACTAACTAACTGGACTGGGCCTAAACTATTATACAACATATAAATAAGAATTGGGCCTGGCCCCATACTAATTCAGCCTATCTCAACAGCCCCCCTCAAGTTGGAGGGTGATAAAACTCCAACTTGCGAATGTGTAGATGATGAGAGGGCCCACACAAAGGTTTGGTGAAGACATCTACTAACTGAGAAGCACTGGAAGTGTGAGACAAACTAATGAGGCCTTCAGTGAGCTTTGAACGAACAAAGTGGCAATCCAATTCAATGTGTTTGGTCCGCTCATGAAAAATAGGATTACGAGCAATGTGAATGGCAGATATGCTGTCACAATATAGTGGAACAAGAGAAGCAAAAGACACCCCAAAATCAGACAAGAGCCTACAAACCCAAGTAATGTCAGCCACAACTTTGCTCATAGATCGATATTCAGCCTCAGCTGAAGAGAGGGAGACCACTGCTTGTTTCTTAGATTTCCATCCAATGGGACTATCACCAAGGAAAATACAAAAAACAAAAACAGAACTTCTGCTATCAGGGCAGGATCCCCAGTCACTATCACAATAAGCTTGCAAAGAAAGATCAGGAGAGTTGGAGAAGAATAGCCCAAAATCAGAAGTACCTTTGAGATACCTCAATAAGTGCAAGGCTGCCTTCATATGTGGACAAGGGTACGAGATTAGTCCCTTGTTCTCAGTGCAACGTGTGAAATGACTTAGTCAAGAGATCGATCTTAGGATACCGGCAAAGGAAACATGGCTGCTGCATGAACTGACCGAGATGTTGCACAGCAAAGCTTAAGTCAGGTCTGGTGTGAGTGAGAAAATTGAGCTTACCAATGAGGCTTCTATAAGTTTCAGGATTGGGGAGAGGATCCCCTTCTTTAGCTTTTAACTTCACATTTAACTCAAGGGGACAAGTGACAACAGAGCAATCAGAAGAGTTAAAGTCAACTAACAGATCATGTATAAATTTCTTCTGATGCAAGAGAACCCCAGAAGATGTGTGAAGTACCTCAATCCCAAGAAAGTAATTAAGAGACCCAAGGTCTTTGATTTTAAACTGAAGATTCAAGAACTCCTTAAGAGAAGCAATTTCAAACTCATCAGTGCCAGTCAATATAATATCATCCACAAAAACAACCAAAATGACCAGGGACTTCCCAGAACCTCTAGTGAATAAAGAATAATCATTGAGAGAGTGTGTGTATCCCCTAGAATGCAAGGCTTGAGATAACTTGGCATACCACTGCCTGGAAGCCTGTCTAAGCCCATATAGAGACTTTCTAAGCATGCAGACCAGAGGAACAGAAGAAGAAGAAGAGGAATCCCCAACAGATAGACCAGGAGGAAGTTTCATAAAAACTTCCTCATCAAGATCACCATGCAAAAATGCATTGTTGACATCAAGTTGAAACATAGGCCAACCCAGCTTGACAGCCACAACAATGAGAGTTTTGACTGTAGACATTTTGACAACAGGAGAGAATGTCTCATGGAAATCAACACCCTCTACCTGAGTATCACCCCTGACAACTAATCTAGCCTTATACCTTTCTATATCCCCATCAGCTTTATACTTTACCTTATAAACCCACTTGCAGCCAATAGTTTTTTTGCCATGGGGCAGCTGAACAATCTCCCAAGTTTTGTTAGCTTCCAAAGCCTCAAAATCCTTCCTCATAGCATCCTGCCACTCAGGGACAGTTGCAGCCTGGGAGTAGGAGTGAGGTTCAGAAATATGAAGTTGAGTAATAGCAGGAGCATCATGACTGGGTGGAAGAATGAGAGAAGAGGAATGACAAACAAAGTCTTTAAGGTAATTAGGAGGGTTATGAGGTCTGGAAGATCTTCTCAAAGGAATATCAGAAACAGGAGGAGGAGAAATAGGAGAATTGGAGGAAGATGAAGGTGGATCAGAATGAGAAGGAGGAGAAAGAACAGGGGAGGAATTGGAAGGAGATGGAAAGGAAGGAGGAGAAGATATAGGAAAAGAATCAAAAGTGTCTTGAGACAAAGGAGAATGAACATCAGAGAAACCAAGAGATGACCCAAGGAAAGGAAAAATGTGCTCCTTAAAAACAACATCCATTGAGATGAAGACTGTTTTAGTGCTTATATTATATAGTTTGTATCCTTTCTTGGCAAAGGGATATCCTATAAAAATACAAGGAATGGATCTAGGATGAAATTTGTTTTTGTGGGGTTTGGTATCAGTAGAGTAACAAAGACATCCAAAAGCTCTAAGATGAGAATATACAGGTACAGACCCAAACAAGATTTCATAAGGTGTTTTCCCAAGGAGTAAAGTGAAAGGCAATCTATTAACTAAGTATGTGGCAGTAAGAATGCAATCTCCCCAGAAATGAATAGGAAGATGAGATTGAAAGAGAAGGGCTCTAGCTGTCTCAAGTAAATGTCTGTGCTTTCTCTCCACCACTCCATTCTGCTGTGGAGTGTGTGGACAGGAGGTTTGGTAAATAATTCCCTTACTGGAGAAATATGTAGAACCTGCAATACTGGAACCCAACTCAAGGGCATTGTCACTTCTAACTGTTTGGATTACAGATTTAAACCGGATTTCAACCATTGCAATAAAGGCTTTGAGAAGATCAAAAGCATTGCTCTTGGCACCCATCAAATGTGTCCAAGTAGCTCTAGTGTAGTCATCAACAATGGTTAGAAAATACCTAGAACCAGTGTAGGTAGGTATAGAATATGGACCCCAGGTATCTATGTGAATTAACTGGAATGGTTTGGTAGTTTGTATAGAACTATCATGGAAAGGCAACCTTGTTTGTCTTGCCAAAGGACATACAAGACAAGTAAAGGACTGTTTAGAAGAAAAAATACAGCCAATATTATTCATATGCCTCATCTTAGAAAAAGGAACATGTCCAAGTCTATAGGTGCCAAGCAACATCAGCATTGTTGACTTTATTAGGTACATCAATGGTATTTACAAGAGATGCATCACTAGTTGCAGAAGAAGAACAAGAAGCATAACCAAAAGCATTAAGAGAAGAAGAAAGTAAAGTAGAACACTGTTGCCCAGCAGAAATGGATTGTTGAAAGAGTTTGTAAAGCCCATTGTCCAGCCTACCAAGCACCACTGGCTTCTTCAGTGAAGGGCCCTGTAGAGTGCAAGCAGCCTTGGTAAACTGTACAATATCAACATCATGACATAACAACTTATGAACACTAATGAGGTTATATTGGAAGCTAGGAATATAAATAACATTGTGAAGAGTAAGATCAGGAAATAAGACTACAGAGCCAATACTAGTAACTTTGACTTTATAGCCATTGGGAAGAGAAACTAGGTAAGGAACAGGTAAAGTTTGTATATTGAAAAGCAAATTTTTATTGGAGGTCATATGATCAGATGCTCCTGAATCTATTTTCCAAATTATTCCATCTACTCTACTCATCATACAAGCTCCATAAGACACTCCCTTTTGGGTGGGCAACATACCAGCAAAGTTGGCAGACCCTATGAGGTTGGAATCAGGAGGGGAAGCAGTGATTTGGGTCTGCTGCTGAAGTAACATCATCAGTTGGGAATATTGGTCCTTGGTAAGGCCAGGTACTGCAGAGGAAGATTGACATTGAGACTGAGACATAGCAGCACCACACTCCATAGTGGGAATACCAGACATTGTGTTGGGGTCAAGCTCAACATGAGCAGCTGATCTTTTAGGCCCCAAATTCTTTGTAGGTCTGAAATTAGGTGGAAATCCATACAATTTATAGCACCTGTCAATGCTGTGACCAGGTTTTTTGCAATATTTGCACACTCCAGAAGACCTAGTAGACTTAAAAGAAACCTTGGAGGGGTAAGTAGGCTTTGACAGACCAAGATTGTGATTTGGTGTAGGATTCAGCACACCAGCAATGAAGGAAGCAGAATTAGAGGGAAACTGAGTCCCAGCAGATACCTGCCTCTGCTTTTCATCAGACAAAAGAATACTGTATACTGTCCCAACAGAAGGAAGAGGCTTCATCATTAAGATGTTACTCCTGGTTTGAACATAAGTCTCATTAAGACCCATGAGGAACTGATAAGCTCTTTGTTCCTCATCCTCAGCTGATTTGGCTCCACAAGTACAAACTCTTGCCCTACCAGCTGAGATGGAAGCAATTTCATCCCATAATTGTTTTATCTTATTGAAATAGGAGGCTATATCAAGAGATCCTTGAGAGATATGGGCCAGTTCCTTCTTTAATTCAAAGACCCTGGCCCCATTAGCTTTACCATATCTTTCTTCTAGTTCATTCCATATATCTTTAGCAAATTCAGAGTATTCTACACTCCTAGCAATATCCTTAGACAACGAGTTTACCAGCCAGGATATTACAAGATCATTGCACCTTTGCCATTGTCTAGCTAAGGGTGACCCATCAGGAGGTCTCCCAGTAGTACCAATTATAAAAGCAGTTTTATTTCTAATAGACAAGGCGACTAACACAGTACGTCTCCAGCTACCATAGCATGTACCATCAAAAGGAGTGGAGACCAGAGAAGTACCCAACACATCAGAAGGGTGAACATACAAGGGGTGACAGGGATGAGTATAATCGTCTTCATGAAAAATAGTGCGAGAACTAGAAGCAGATGCAGTGGTTTTAACAGGATCGGGATTACCATTTGTCATATTTGTAAAAAAAATATCTAAAAATTAGTAAGAATGTCTACAACTATATTGCCGGAATAGAAGATAATGGAGTAGATATACCAGCCTCTTTCGCAACCGGAAAGAGAACGGCCTTCAGAAATAAGGAAAAATCAAAGTGAGAAAAACCCTAGCTCAAATCCTTAGCTCGAACAAACTGTCAAAAATTGAAGAATCTCGACCAAATCTTCAAATTCAAACTCAGAAAATGCCATCTCGTGAAGAAAACCCATCGAATGCCGAAGAACTAACCAAAAATTATCGCAGAATCGACGAACACTATCACAATTCGAAAAACTCAACGAAAATCGGCGAGGGTATAGTCGGACGGAAGCATGAGACTAGGAGAACACAGATCTATGCTCTGATACCATGTTAATATTTATTATCTCTTCAGATTCAATGATGAAGAAGAAACTGAACTTAGAGAAAAATAGAGAGAAGGTCGAGAACTCCTTGTTATTCAATGAACAGAACAAAATGAAAATATCTAATCCGTTCTTTACAAAATCGGGTCTACTGACTATATATACATGACCCAATAGAAAAATAGAAGTGGATCACTAACTAACTAACTGGACTGGGCCTAAACTATTATACAACATATAAATAAGAATTGGGCCTGGCCCCATATTAGTTCAGCCTATCTCAACATAATGAATAACGGAAGAGACAAAATATCAGTTTAAAAACCAAAAGAAATTCGTTTTTTGACTTGGCAAGAGAAAATATCAGTTTCAAAACCAAAAGAAATCCGTTTTTTGACTTGGCAAAGGAAGGAGATAACAACCTTCTTTAATTTCTCAACCGTTACAACTTTCCTCCATAATAAAAAAGGAATGATACAATAGTCTTCCTTGCAACCTCCTCTTATTCTATCTTTTTGTGGTTGAGCTTAAGATTTAAATCTTGGATCGGACTCTGTATAATGTAGCTAAGTGATAGAACTGTATTTAAAGTGATCACATGACATATAGCCATCAATTTGGATGAACATTGTGTATATCGTTTTTTTCCCCGTTAAGGAGGTAGTCAATAGTATGACTCTTGGTAGAGGCACACTAGGCTATGGACAAAGTGTGCAGGAGTTTAATTACTGCATTTCGCGTTTTATTTTTATTTTTAGTTTTATGGATGAAAATAAAAATAAAAAATGTATAATACATCTAATCTTAAAGAAGATTGAACAAAAGACAAAATACAAAGAGCCCATAGGTTTCACGTGGGTTGCTGGCATTATGAGTACTCCCACAACGGCGAGCACGTTAGTACGTACTCAGTTATTCATCAGTTAAACAACACATGTCTAAAGTGAAAACAGATTTGACATTGTTTAGTCGACGTGAAGGGAGGTCGACCAAGAACTCCATCACCTGGAGAGGAAGGACGAAAATTGTGTTGAAAACCAGCCCATTGATTTGAGAAATTAGAGCGAGTAGAGTATTGACCTCGACCCCTGCCTTTGTTAGATCTACCACGACCACGTCCATGTATGATACTTTTGAATATGTATTAGTATGAGATAAAGTAGAAGAATGGGGTTGAGAAATTAGTTGTGTTGGAGTGGAAGCAAGTAAGGCAGTGTGAGAAGTGGGATCATCATTGTTTGTTGCATTAATATGTGCTTCTTCAGTGAGAAGTAATGGACGCAATGCTAGAAAAGTTGGGAGAGTTCCTGTAGCATTTAGTCCAGAGACAAAAGTTCGATAGGAAGATGGAAGTCCTTGCAATGCTTGGGTTACTAAATCATCATCAGAAACTGGTTTTCCAACCGCTCTAAGTGAACAAGCAAGAGAGTGGAGTTGTTGAAGATAATCCTCCATGGAAAGTGAGCCTTTCTTAAAATTCTAAAATTTTGATTTCAGATGAATTGACGAGGATGAAACCTGATCAAGGTAGAGAGAAGCAAGAACATTCCACGCCTCTTTGGAAGTTTCACAAACATAGTTAAGAAGAGAATCAAGAACTGGAGGTGAAAGAATGGCATTAATCCAACTGAGTGTTATAGTATCACATTGAATCCATAGTCGATACTCATCATGGGTTGATGCTGGACATGGAATAGAGCCATCAACCAAAGAAAGAAGGTTGTGACTTTTTAGAACGGTAAGAAAAACCTTTTTCCATGTAAGATAATTAAGATATGTCAACTCAATAGGTACAAAACCTTTAATATTAGAAATAGTTGGAGGAGGATTTGGAAGACCCAAAGAGGATTGAGTGGAGATCGTCTGATTTGGAGGAGAAGTTTGAGTGGAAGAAGAAGTTTGGGAAGCCATGTGCTCTTGATACCAGGTTGAATTTTAAAATACAAAATAGTTTACAAAAGGCCTGCTTGAGTTTAAGAAGCTGAAGTACTCTCATTTATATTAAGATACAAGAAATTGTCAATGAAACTAACTACAACATATGCATACAACACTAATTACAATAATATCCTTGTCAAAAATGCCATTGTATCATAATCCATTTATCATTCAAAACCATGTATATTTATAATGTACAATAGATAATGGACAAACATGCTTAATTTTTCTGCAATTTCCACTATTCTATCAGCAATGATCAATCTTTAGTTTAAAAAAATTAAGTACAAAACAATTGAACACATTAATCATTTCTTGTCTCTTTCCTCGCTGCTTTTCTGCACAAAACTTTGCCATTTCTACAGTCTCTCTGTTCTTGGTTTTTCACTCCGATTCAAAACCTGGGACGACTCTACGGCGAATCAACTCGTCCACCTTCTTGCCATCTCCAATCCCATTCTCGGAACAGAATTTAAGTAGTAGGTTTGGCCGTCTGGGCACATCCACTTGTGCTCAACTTGTACTTAACATATATAATTGAGAGATTTTCGGGAAAATATGTATATTTATACTAAAACTGTACCTATTCTCACAATCTGTATTCACTAACTTAAAATCTTGATCCGTCTTTTGCTCGAAGTGTCTCCTGCTAATGCAAAAGGGGTCTAAAATCACCCCAAAAATCAAGGTTGCTTCGGATATCCATGTGACAATATCTTTGAAAATCTTCAAATTTCATGAACCGTGACATATTAATGTTAACGGAGTCGAATCGAGCCAAGTAACGGAGCAACTCTTCAAACAAAGATTCATCACAAGGAATAGCTAAAAGGCCAGAGTTAGTAAAACCAAACTCTTCCTCTGCCTGTGACAACAGTTTCTTGAATATTGGGTGGTTCAAGTAAGTGGCACGGACTACAAATCTCTTGCAATTGGCACCAACTGTGACTGCTACTTGTCCCGAAGGTACATCGGTCGGGACACGGCGACGGGCAGCAGTAGCGGCCATCTTCCTCCACCGTTGTAGCATTTGGCGGAGCCTGACTATGTCCCAAAGGATGGTTGCCACAACGGGATTAGAGATAATCCTTAGGTTTACAAAAAAGTTTTTATAAATGTTGTTTTGTCTCAGTAATTTAGTGAAGTGTTGGGGAAATCCTACTGAGTAGTAGGTCGTGGATTTTTTCACCTTTTGAGCCGGGTGTTTTTCACGTAAAAATACTTTGTGTTCTTTACTTTCCGCATTTATTATTTCCGTAATTGTAGTATAAGGAACATAAAGAAGAAGCAGGTCCTTCTATAATCTGTGCACGCGAAAATTGAACACCATACAAACCACTCTCTCCTCTTGTGTGACATTGAAGTATAAAAGATCAGATTCTGTCAGTTTATTATATACACATATTATGTTAGTAGGGTGATAAAAAAAGACTTGCTTTGTGTTTTGATAACAAATTTACACAGACGATCCTTAGGCTCGATGTTTCATTCAGAATACAGCAGGGTGGATATACAGAGCAGTCCTAACATATTGTATACACAGTATATTAGGAGGGCGATCAAAAGACTTGCTTTTGTGTTTTGATAATATATTTACACAAACGGTCCTTAGGCTCGATTTTTCATTTAGAATACAGCAGGGTGTATATACAGAGAAGTCCCAACAGTCCTCGGATATATGTATTGTAGAACTGTAAGACCAATACATGAAGTTGATATGATCGAAGCTGAGTAAAATGTGTATACTATTTAGGAGTAAAATGTGTCCAACGCATAAGACCTAACTTTAAATGAACATAACTCACAATCTTTAAGGGGTGATGTAGATTGCTACCCATCAAATGAAAGATCTTTTAAGTCTAGTTACGATTAACTAATAGAGTATACACTAACAATGTAAACAGGTTTTACACTCTTATTGATATGACTTTCCTCAACCAACCATAAGTAGCTAGCACCAATGAATCCTTCATTTGTAAAGCCAACCAGCCTGCTAACATTGGGTGATGGAGATGAGAATTTTGTTTTTTATCAATTTTCAAGAATTTGCAAGCCTAGAATCTCAAATCACCTTGCTTTTCTTCATCTTGCTTTCTAATACTTCTTTCCTCAAACTCAATGTACTTGTACCACTTAGCACAAATGAGGTATACCAGAAAATCAGCTGCTGTCAATGCTGCTAAGAGGAAGTAGAATCTATCCAAATGACCCTTGTTGAGGTTTCCAGGTATCCAACCAGGCATATTATCGGTAGTCGAAATTCTCATAACTATGGAAACCAGCAAGCTACTGACATAGTTCCCTAGTGAAATAGAAGTCATGCAAAGTGCACTTCCAAAGCTTTTTAATCCATCTGGTGCTTGTCCATTGAAAAACTCCAATTGTCCAACATACATGAAAACCTCTGATGCTCCTATTAGTACATATTGTGGGACTTGCCACAAAATACTTAAAGAACTTGAGTTGGTGCAATGAGGACAATCTATGTTGGCATATTTTAACCTGAAATGCTCCACTATTCCAGCTGCTACCATTGCCATTATAGCAATAATAAGACCAACTCCCATTCGTTGGAGCTCGGTTAGTCCTCTTTGAGAAGACTTCTTTAGACTGGCAACGAAGGGGTCAAGAACTCGCCTGTAGATGAAAATGAATGCTGCAACACTAAGGATATCG